ATGTTGAAAAGCCCTCTAATTGATCATATCACATCAAGATTAATGAATATGGAAAAAAAAAAGAAAAAGTTGAGTCCCAGAAATAGTGCATCTTGCATCGCATTATCTAGACCGTCCATTATCAAGATTTTCATATGTTTATATATTTACTTGATTTTAACCGTTTTTGGAGTTTAAAAGTTTATAATTACATATGAAAATAGGTTTTCAAATAATCCTAATAATTTTTTACTTCAAAATTACATATTATTATAAAATATGGAGGTGTGCCTTAATTGGATTGATTAAGGTTGCACTCTTTCAGAAACCACAACCAATATTTTTTGAGGGAATTGATGAGGTACGTCCACATAGAAAATGGCATTATGCTAAACGGCATGGATTTCACAGAGCTCAATCAACGGTGGGAGCGGGAAAACCATTTGAAAATTGAAAAAGGGTGCAGTTTGTATAGAGCCGAAGCTCTAAACAATCAAAGTAGAGCCTACCTTCAAATAGTATCAAGAAATGTGGTTTCAATACTGAAAATCTTTTTGTTATCCTTAAAATATATTTTCATCTTTAAGTAAAAAATTTAAAGCATAAAAAATAGTGTAGAACAAGCATATCTATGAAACCTTGAAAATCTTGAAAATTGACGGTCTAAAATGCATCACAATATGCACTATTTTTTATACTTGAAATCCATTTTTTTCTTTTGTACATGCATCTTGATGTCGAGATTATCAATTTGAGGATATTTGGGTATCAAATAACATCTTCTAGTGAAATTTTTGAGGTACGATCTAGTTTGATTGTTTAGACCCTTGGCTCTATATAAACCTTTCCCCACTGAAAGAGGCCATTTCAAATGATGGGTTTTCATACGGGACTTTAAATTTCACGGGTGAACCATACAGGGCTATGAATGCCCTCTCTCTCTCTCACAGTGATCCTCAATTCACTCTCTCTCATTGCCATTTCCCCACTCTCTCTTCATCTCTCTATCCTCCCAGTGTGTTTTAAAAAGCACTAGGCGGCATCTAGGCGGCCATGGGGTCCAGCCGGCACTAGGAGTACAACAAGAAATAAAAAGGTGAAGAGGTACCAAGTAGAGCAGCTAAAACTCTTAGAGTCTCATCTGCACAGAGTACAAGGGAGTAGAAGAAGAGGAGGAAGAAGCAGATTCGAGAAGAAATAGAGGATGAGTGTTACATTGAAGAAGAAGATGCCTCTTAAATCTGATGCATATATCTTTTTGATGATGATGATGACTGAATAATAAAGACGCTTGACTCTTGGTGTTGTGTGTTGAGTTATTGACTGTATATTTTCTTTTTTCTTTTTCTTTTTGTTCTTTTTTTTTTAGTTTCTTCTATCAAACTCTTGTGTGTATGCTTGTATGGTCTTAGTATTGTATGGAAATATGGATTATGGACTATCTAAATTCTCCTCATTCATGGAAATATGGATTATGAATTATATTTTATATAGTTATACTATTAGACACTTAGACTTTAGACATTTTTCTTTCTATTGGGCCACCCAGGTTCTGGGTGCCCGCCTAAACGCTGGGTGGCCTGGATCCCCCGGTCGCCTAGGTGCCACTTAGTATTTTTGGAAACACTGCCTAAAATCCATACTTTAAACCTATCTAATACCTCAAGTTAGTCGCCCTAGACAAACCTCACCCTAATAAACATGGGAGTGAAACTCATACACTAATATGATACTCATAAATCTAAAAACTAACACCGAATATCCTAGCCTTATAGACCCTTTAAAATTCACCCAATTTGACCAAATTTGATTCTAAATTATAGAGGAAATCACAAGCTTTACATTTCCAAGAATCGTCCAAATCCAACTTATGGCTTGAAAGTTAGGTCTGAGCAAATTTGTTAAAAAAAAAAAAATTATTTTGGTCTAGACGAAGTGGCCCAGATGATGGGAAATGCGTTGTTAACCCAAAAACTGTATGGATGATGCAAACTGCATTCTAGAGCCTAGATTGTCCAATTTGGACGATGTAGGCTACGTTGTTCGACGTAGAACACTAGACGACGGACATTGCGTCTTCCAGACCCCGTAAATTGGTTGATTTCAAAATTTTGACAAGATAAACACATGAAAAACTTCTAAAAAATGAGTTTTTTTTATGCAGATTATAGTCTATATAAAGGCAAAATATGGGACAAACTCAAGGAAATAACCAACCCATGCTATGTTAGAAACCCTAAAGAATCTAGTAACCAAAAACCCTAATTTTGAGAAGTCATAAAACCCTATGCAAACCTAAACCCTATATCAAGGAAACCCTGACATTAGTTTTAAGAAATCATAGCCAATTCTCTATGCATTCAAAACCTTAATTTTAAATCTTATTAAAACCCAAAAATCCTAGGATATAAATGTCCTAGTTACTTCTCATTCAAGAAAAATTCAAATGGTCGGGGATGATGACACTTCATCAGTTAGTCTAATCCGGCCACCAACTCTAAGTGCCAGTCCAGTTAGATTGGATTTTGGTAAGTTTTACTTTCTCTAAATTTCAGTTTATTTTCTTTTATCTGATGTTTCTTTTCTATTTTTTTAGGGTTTCAGTAGTGGATTTAGTGTGACCTTGAGCCGGACCTATCGATGGTTCCTATAGAACCTTGATTTTCCAAGCTTAGGGTTTATTTTTAATCAAATTTTGATGAAGCCCATTATTCTCTGCCTGTCTTTAATTTTAATAGTTTAAAGCATAAATTTGGGGGGGTTTCTTCTGAAATCTTATCAGATTTGTGTTGTAAACCAGGGATGTCTAAGATGACTAATTTGAAGTGTTAGGTAGGTTTAAAGTTTAGGTTAGGTCTGAGAGTTTGAATAGGGCACATGTTAAATGTCAATGGAATTTTAAATTTTTAGGAATTTAGGAAAAGCAACCAATCTCACAATGTGATTTCCAGTGCAAAAAAGGAAACAAGTTAACCCTCGTGACAACAAAGAAGTGGGGACGTAGATTATTAGGAGTTGATATGACTCTCCACGACTTCATATTATGAGATATTATGTTGCTTTTGTTGTGTGCGCAATGTGGGAGTCTCTGGTCCTCCAAGACACCCTACTACAATCTAATAAAAACATCAATAAGTACAATTTTGTTCATTGTGTGATCAAACTTTTGAAAAAAACATAAACAAAATTCCTCGAAAAATATCCCCTTAAGAATTATTCTTAGAAAAGAAAGAAGGCTCATGTGCCTTTTCATATAAAATAATGATTAATACTATAAGAATATAAATTTAGACCACACATACATCAACTGCCTATGATGTGAAATACGACAAAAGCGAGGTTCTAGAGGTAGATCGAAGCAAATTCAAATAGAAACAATTCAAACAGTTTTTCCAAATATTTCAAATTACTTGTCCTATAATGTTTGATTGAAATTTGACATTCAAATAAGATTATTTCATATTTTCCTCCTCAATACTTCCCTAATGAATTTAGAAGAACACAAATCATTAAATCACATCAAACACCTAAAATTTAAAAAATAAGGGAAAATTACAAATTACCCTTAAGTATAAACTTCCTATGTAACTTCCCCTCAACCAAACCTTTTTTCTCACTTTTTACACTAAATTTAACTTTCCCAACAAATAACCCCCAAGTAATAAAAAAAAAGTAAAATGAATACCCAAATACCCTCTAAAAAACATGCAGTCCAACACAAAATAGGGGCGGTCCGGTACTTTACTTTTGGAAAGCATGCGGTTTGATACAAAATGGGAGCGGTTCGGCACAAAATGGGGGTGGTCCGGTATTTTGCTTCTGAAAAGCATGTGGTCAAGCACTTTGGGCATGCGGTCCGACACAAAATGGGGGTAGTCAGGCACTTTGGGCTTCTGGAAAGTATAAGAATAACCAAAAAAAAAAAAGATAATCAAATTAATAAAGCAAGAGTTCAATATTAAAATCCACACAAGTTCAACTTATTTGATCTGAGATAAAAAGCAATATAGATACATTCCAATCACAAATGAAGCTAGTAATACTTGATGAAAAAAAAATCATAAAAGGAATATAGAAGCAGATCCTGGATGGAAAGAAAATAATGATTTACCAATAAATCACAGCTCATAAATTCTGATAATATACACACATCTAAATATCCTAATATATTATCAAAACCACCTATTTTTCCCCCGATATCATAGAACCCAATATCAAGAAAAACTAAAACAAATTCAATGATACAAAATTAGGGTTTGGTGAGAACAAGGGGGGCACCCTTATACTATTGAAGTAGAGTGCACACTAAAAGTCCACAAAAAGATATCATTATGTGTTGGAAAACGTGCAAACAAATCATCTTGACCTCTGGAAATATGAATGTAAAAAAATAAATTATGTTTTAAAAATAGTGATCTTAAAACAAGTTATCTAAACTATTTATTTTAAATATTTTTAAATGTTCATAAATTTGACTTTTACTTCTATTATTTTAAAAATTTAAAAATTTATAATTAGGTATGAAATAGATTTTCAAACTATTATAAAGTTTATGATACGGGAACTACTTTTGCCTTAAAAACTTTAGAGGGGCTCTTTGCTTCTATACAATAAGGTGGCTTATGGAAAGCTTTCTTTTCTTGAATATAAAACATATACATTGAGATCATTTATTTTTGATAGAAAAAAATCATATATAAAATTCGATTGAGGATATATTATTGATGGGTATAAAATTTAAAATAAAATTAATTTAATATTAAAGTAATGATCTTATTGGACCCTCTCTCATTCATGACTTTAAAGGATGGCTGTTAAAATTGACAAATATCTCCAAAAAAAAAAATATTACATCAATGGTACTTAACTTTATTCGTGCCAAATTCAAAAGTGGTGTTTTTGGATCCTTCACACGTGGGTGGAAACACGTGGGTGGAAGAGATCCTATAGGATCAATTTTTTTTTTTAATATTATAATATTTCATCTTTTTCGTCTAAAGTATCACCAAACTCCGGCGGGGAGCACCAAACTTGAAATTCCAGTTCCTCCATCCTGTGAAACCACCTCGCATTTAAAACCCTAGCTCAAAGAACCAGCTCTAGGGTTTTTGTCCTAGGAATTATCGGGGCTTTTCGGATCGCTTTCTAGCGTGTCTTTTTTCACATTTTCTCTCTCAAATCCTCTTCTAGGGTAATTTATCTCCTTCTATGATGGAGTCTCTGTCATTTTCATCCTCATCTTTCTAGAATTTCTCTTCTGGGTTTTCAGGCTTCTCTGCAACTTATTGGTTTCCTCCATGGAAGGCATTGAAATGGAAGAAGTTTCACTTTGCGAAGAGAACGAGGACCTTTATTACGATTTATTATCAAGGTTAAAAAATTCTCAGAACACTGACCATCAACACTTATGTGCAGTAATAGGAGCCATGGCCCAAGAGCTCCAGGACCAGAACATACCTAGAAATCCCACTGCTTATTTTGCTGCAACGATTTCTTCTCTTGATAAGCTCTCTATTGATCCCATGGTTGGTTCAAATGACCCAGTCTCTGCTTCTCTCTTGATTTTCCTTGAAATGATATTGCCTAGAGTTTCCTCTGCGATTCTTCGAAGCAAAGGTGTGGCATCCATGGAAACAATCAGGAAGGTTGTTGGTAAACCAGGGGTTAGTGTGGGTGCAATGAATGCTGGGCTGAAGTGTATCTCTCATTTGATTGTAGTTGGAGACAAATTTCAATGGCAAATTATTGTCCCTTACTACGGGTTTTTGCTCAGTCATATAATTGACCGTGTCCAAAAGGTACTAGCTTCTCTCTATCTGATACACTTGTATACTCTCTCTCTGTCTCTTGTATGCCTGCTATTTCCATCTCATAGTTCAATATCTCAATTAATGTTGCCCAAAGGTGTTTGTTTTGATCTGTCTCTTTCTCGCTCTCTCACACACACACACAGGTTCTCTCTCTCTCTCATGCTGTATATATGAATGCCTATCCATGACTATTATTGTTGGATGTCAATTTCTAGGTTATTAATTGGATTTTTCTCATACATACTAATGAATTAAAGTTAACCATTAAAAGAAATCATGATGAGAATTTAGCCCTAGCAATACTCTTGTTGTATTTTTTTTGAAAGAGCAAGTACTTGGAAGTTGGAACAATTTTTAATCGTGGAGAAATAAAGAAGTTATGTTTTTCGGGGGAAAAATATTGGCATAAGGCCCAGAAAATAGTAGCCTCAAAGAAAAAAAAAAAAATGGAGCAAAAAAATCATCAAATTAGAATTTGGGAAGGCTTCTAACATTTTGTTTGTTTAAGCTGAAATTTCAGCTACCTTTTTTTTTAATGCTAAAAGTTGGCTTGAACCCAAACCAAGGTCTCACTTGACCTGCTGCGAGTCAGATATTTTGATATTCAGTGTAGTTTGGGAGAGTCATCTCATCTGCCAATCAGAGGATTCAATTTAGGTTTAGATTAACTTTAGGTACATCATGCACTGTAGCAGTTGCTTCATATTTTGACTCATTATAGCATGTATTCCAGTTTTGGGAAGGTTTTCTGGCGTTTTGGAAATCTGAATTCTCTATTAGGCATATAGAAGGCGACCTCCTTTATGAACTAGCCTATGAATTCAAATTTTTCATGCTGAAACTTGTACAATATTTGGCCGTTTAGATAATTTTTGCACATTGAAGTTGTTGATTACTTGTTGTATTGTGGACTTAGCTAGTCCCAATAATAAGTAATCCCTTGTTTTAATTTCCAATTCTTGAATTAGTCATATTCAAATTACTGCTTTTGTAAAACAGTCATTGTAAGTTGGCAATCATGGTTTTGTAATGTTTAATTTTATAAAATATAATTGATTTCGAGGTTAATTGTGAGTAATTGCTGCTTTTTAAGCAACAAAACTACATGCCATATTATTGCTAAATATAAATGAGTATTTTGGAATATTGAATGGTATCCCTGCTTGTTGCACATTGATTATATGTCTGTAATTTTCCATTATTATTGAAACACCAGTTCATATCTGATTTTTAGAAATTTGAGGATGTCTTATGGGAGATTAGGTATTTAGATAAGCTGTACAGCCTTCCTTTTATGCCATGTTCTCAAAGGTGCAGATAAACTCAAGTGTCCTGTGGATTTATAGCTGTCAATACCTTTTTTGTGTCTCGTTGAGTTCCATCTTAAACCCTAGACCATGGAGCTGAGGTCTTTATGCCTTAACTGCTTAAACCAAAAGATTTTTTTTCTTGGATTTCTTTTGCATGTTATTACATTTGTTTTGTCTTAATGAAAGCTACTTTTACTATTTGAATGAGACGGTGCAGAATATGTTGAGCTGCTAATTGTCATTCTCACTTATTGAACTATGGATCTTATCTCCGATGTGTGGCAAAATTAGTGACTGTGTATGATGTTCTTTTTTTTTGTTTCTGGTTTCAAGGTTGTAATTTATTCCTGGCGGCCCAAGACAGCCAAGGGGGTTAGTGCCTAGACACTAGCAGATGCCTAGGTTTTGAGGTGTCCCGGCCTCCCAAACATACGTGTGTGTATATATATATATGTATGTGCGCTTGTACACTCCAAACACATGAAAATACACACACATATGTATATACAATTTTATGTACATATATACATACATATGTGCTCCACATGCACATATATGCATTATGTGTGTGTGTGTGTGTATAATATGTGTGTGTGTGTTTAATATGTGTGTGTGTGTATAATATGTGTGTGTGTGTGTATAATATGTGTGTGTGTGTGTATAATATATGTATGTATGTATGTGTGTATCTATATATATATATATATATATATATATATACACACACACACACACACACACATATTATGTATCATTTCTTCCCGATCTTTGATTCTCGATGTTTTGGATGGATATCAAGCTCTAAATCACCCAAAAATTCCTCTTGTTCCCTCACTTGATAGTTGATAGTTCAAAATGAATCAATAGAAAAAGTTGGTAATTCGATAATTACTCATATTTCTATAATTTTTCTAGTCTCACAAAAATTGGAAAAATCTTATACTTCCAATTTGTTTGTGGCAAGAGAAACCCTAATACCCCACCCTTTTCCCCCTTAAGAGGGGGGAAAATAACTCAAATGGCTCAAACTCTGGTTGGTTGTGATTTTGAGTCCAATGTTCAAGAACACAAATCCAGTGGTTCGATGCCAAAACTTGGTTAACTTGCTGAGTTAAATACTTAACTTGCAAAAACTCGGTTGAGTTTTTATTTTTTATTTTATAATAGGAGCTAAAGATAGTACCAAGTGTCCATGGCAGGATTTTAACCAAGCTTGTCAACATGTGACTGAACAATGAAACCAAATCAGCAACTATGGCACAAAAGAACACAAAAACAATTATATAGAACCAAAATTTCAGGCACATTCGAGTTTTTTGTTTACAAACTTGGCAAATGGGCAAGTTGAGTTGATGAGTTTTCTGAGTTGAAAATGTGTTTTTATTCACTGAAATCTGCTGTATGCAGAGATAATATAAAAATTTGCAATGTAGACCTTTGCTTTCAAACTCATGTGACAGTCACATTGAATTTTAGTAATTATACAGTTGAGGTTGTTCGAGGAAGGTTTGCTCTATGTATTGAGAATACACTGGTTTACTGTTTGGTTTCTCTAGGTGAGAAAAAGGGCTAGAACATGTCTTCAAGAGGTACTCCATGGCTTTCAAGGATCATCCTTGCTTGTACCAGCAAGCGAAGCGATCACTAGTCTATTTGAACGGTATCTTCTTCTTGCCGGTGCATCAAATCCTGCAGTGCAATCAGTAACTGATGGCCCAACTGAAGGTGGGGCAATGGAGGTCCTATATATCTTAGAGGCTCTCAAGTATTGCCTGCCTCTAACGTCAACAAAATGCACATCTCAAATCTTGAAGTATTTAAAGCCACTCTTTGACATTGGACAACCTATTGTTACAAGACATTTAATGGACATTTTGCGTACGTTGTGTTCTAGTCCAACTTCTTCTTTGGCTCCAGATGCACTTTTAGTTTTAATTTGTTTGTTAGCATCATCTGTGTCTGCTGATGAGAAGTCAGCTGATGAGATGACAGCTACATCACACTTGCTGCTTATCGGTATGGAGAAGGTTTATGCTCTAGACAGAGACCTGTGCGTCGTGAAACTGCCGGCTATTTTCAGTGCACTCGCAGGTATTGATTTCAGTTGCACTTTGTTCATGTACAAGGAATCAAAATTCATTTCAATTTGGTTGACTCAGAGGCTTACTGAGGTTTGAAGTCTGAAAACTTGGGTTTACCCTGGTTTAAACTTGAGCCAATTGAAGATTAGAATTGGTGGATTTCATTGACTTGTTGAATTTTGTCCTCTTGTAGATTCCTTTTCTATTTGGCAGCCATACCTTTTCAACCTTGATGTTGTCACATGCGTGCTTGCATGTTCGTGTGCGTGTGTGTATGTGTGTGAGAGAGAGAGAGAGGAGAAGAAAAAGTGAGAGAAGAGAGAGGAGAGAGAGAGAGAGGGAGAGGCCTTGGTATGTTTCTCAATTTTTTATCTTTAAATAAGAACTTGCTTTGTTCTTATTCGTGCCAAATGCTCTCTCATGCTTCTCGTCTTTCTACCTTTCTTTTGGTACGGGAAGTAATATATACTTGTTATCTTATAATTGTAACTTGGCAGAGATTTTGGCTTGTGAGCATGAGGAAGCTGTATTTGGAGCTACAAAAGCATTGAAAAGTCTTATATCAACTTGCATTGATGAGAGTTTGATCAAGCAGGCAACCGATCAGATTAAGCCAACTCTTAGTGGAGGCCTGAGAAGGTCTGGACCAACTATATTGGAGAAAGTTTGTGCCACTGTTGAGAGTTTACTTGGTTATCAGTATAACGCGGTTTGGGATATGGCATTTCAGGTTGTTTCAGCGATGTTTGACAAATTAGGTGAGTTTATTTATTTCATACTTATCCAATTTATATCTAATGCCTATTGTTTCTTGATTTCTAAAGGCCATTGTTATTTATTTTGTTCTTTGCTATCTAATATTCCCTCTTATGGAATCATGGCATATTCTAGTTGAGGATTGGCCTAAGTTTTAATTGAATCGTGCATGCTGCTGGTGCTAATCATAATAATTCTTTTTAGATTTAGTCAAACTTATGATTTTCTTTTTTATTTGGCAGGGGAGTCATCCTCGTTTCTGATGAGGGAAAGCATTAAAAGCCTAGCAGATATCCAGCAGCTTGATGATGAGTACATGGCTTTCAGGAAACAGGTGATGAAATCAACCATGGGCTGTGATACTATGACCTAGAATTATTACTTTTTACCATCCATATATCTTATTCATCGAGTTCCTTTGGTTGCTTGAATATGAATAAAAGTTGAGAGGATTTATCCCTGGCTATCTACCATCTCAACTTTTATTGGCATGTTCCCCTTATATATTCTATCAATTGGAGTGTCCTTAGTGCTTTTGCTTTTACTGATGTTGATACTTCTGGTACACTCAGCTGCAAAAATGTGTTGGTTCTGCAATTGCCGCAATGGGACCTCAGAATTTCTTGAGTCATCTGCCTCTTAATTTAGATGTTGAGGATTTATCCCTGGCTAATGTTTGGTTGATTCCAATTCTGAAACAACACATAGTTGGTGCCCGTTTAAGTTTTTTTACATCCCATATTTTGGGTTTGGTCACATCCTTGAAGCAGAGAGCTAAAGTGGTAGGCAGTTTTCCTTATGAAGTTAACCAAATTCATTTGATTTCATTTTATTTTATGAGGTTGGGTACCATCATATCTTTCTCCTTTTGCAGTTTGAGAATGAAGGTCGCATTGTTGCATCAAGGACTGCAGAAGCACTGGTGTATCGTTTATGGTCCTTGTTGCCTGCCTATTGCAACTATCCTGTAGACACGGCTGATAGCTTTAAGGGTCTAGCAAAGTCCCTGAATGATGCACTTTATAAAGAGTCTGAGCTGCATGGGATAATATGCTCTGGTTTGCAGGTTTGCATCACACCTCTTAGTATGTCTTGCTGTTGATTTGGTTTATGGTGACGACTTTTGTTGTTCAAATTAATTTATGTTTATTTTTGTGAATTTGTGGTGTTTAGATCCTCATTCAACAGAACAAGAGAGTACTTGCTGAGACAAGGGATCTGTCTGCTGATGGGAATCCCCAGGATGTAAGCATTTCTATCCAAAAAGCTAGGGCATGTTATACGCCGCTGGTTGCAGAAAATAATTTGAGGGCATTGAGCTCATTCTCGCAACATTTTTTCTCAGTTCTGTTTGGAATCTTTGTAAAGTGCTCAACTGATAGCGGTGGGTCGTTGCAGGTAATTTGTAGTCCCTATATCTTTCCCATCTATGGTTGGATGATTTTAGAAATTGCACATGATTCTCAGTGTAGCCGAGCCCAAATAGTTTGTATAAGGCTCGAATGACGATAATGATGACATGGTTCTCAGCATCTCATTGTTTTCTTTGGAAAAGACAACTGCATGATAATTTAAATGCTTTCTGCAAGAGTTGTAAAACTGAAAACCTTGGCACTAACTATATGCATTGAGCTCAAGGCAAGGCTAATTTCACTGTTGTGGCATAAAGTTTTCTAAGTGATGTTCCAAGTTACCCTTTTCTCTTTATAATTGATGTGCCAAGGCCCTTCAAAATAGAGCGTATTGCTGTTAGCTCCATTTCTATGTTAATGACTGCCTTGTATTTGACTTTAGTTCTAGGTTGTGCAGTTGCTTTTGCTTTTTATTCTTAAAAGAAAAGGGATTCTGAGAAATATAAACTGACATCTAGTTGTAGATTTTCCTTGTGTTAATACAGCCCTCAGTGTATGCTGTTGTTGTGTGCCAGTGGCTACTAAAACTATGCTACTTCTTGGTTTGGACTTTATAATATATAGGGAAATTTATCAAATTACCCATGAGTGATGAGCAACTTAACACTTCACCCATATCTGAGCAGAGTGTTAAATACTTCATCTCTAATGGGTATTTTGATAAATTTCCCTAGTTTATATAAGTTAGGTTGTGTAAACAGCATCCAAGTGAGGTTTCTTGAGTAGTGTATGAAATGGCTGACTCAACCATCTAAGGAGGAACTATAGGCTTTGCCATAGAAATGCAAGTTAGTCTTTAGTAGTTCTTACATGCTGCAATTAGGCAAATGCAATACTTCCTTATATTCTTGGTAAGGATTTGAGGAAACCACAATATTCCATTGCCATCTGTTCATGCCAATACAAGAGCTCCTGTGAATATTTCCATTGAAATAGTGTAATTTGCATAGTTAGTTATTAGTCAAATATAAGTGAAAAGAGGATTAGTCACAACACCTGATGCTTTTGATGAACTGACTACTCAGGTTCATCTGTGGGGACTTTGTCACTGCATGAACCAACCAGGGTATTATAGTTTAGGGTGCATCCTTTGATGATGGAGAATGACCATAAAAGGATATGAGAAAAACTTATATCTACCTATTTAGGTAAACTTGTTAGGCGATAGTTTACTTTCTTTAGACTTGAATCCATATCTTGCTTTATGAAGTAACACACAAGATAAAGGTTTCCTTCTTGAAAAAGATAGATTGTGTAATTCATATCTTTCACTTTGTGGGGAGATATTTCTTCCATCAAACTAGAAAAGATGCCAAGTTTATGTAAGCCACAAGGGATATACTGCCTTGAATCAGTGTCATTATAGCCAGCCATATGAGTTTTCATCCTTTTGGAGGTTTTAGAGATTGTGTGCAAACCTTTGCATCAAATTTCACCTTTATAAGTCATCTCTTTGCTCCTCACCTTAATTCATCTCTTCCAATAGATTACCCCCTTGGAAATATTGTATCCTTCCACTCAGTCACTTTTCCTTCATATAAGTTCGATTGATTTAGGGTATACATCGAGTTTCATTGAAGATGCATTTGATAGGGAATATGCTCTAAAAGTCGTGAAAGTACTGGGAGGTTGTTTCTGAATGTGAAAGATTGACTGACCACATTCAGAGATTATCATTATCACAAATTCTCTTGCAAGACAATTGGCCTCTCTTAATATGTGACTGAAATAGATCTCCACTGCATTTATGAGGTTCTCACTCCTCCCTTATGTGTTGTGTCTTATCGCACACCTGGTGCAATTAATTTATTTTCCGTAATTAAAAAGGCATAAGTTGACTCATATTCTGCCTTTGGGAGCCTGAGAGAGACTAGAGGAGTACCTAAGGCCCATCAAAGGAGCTTTTGTTTCCTCTTTCAAGGAATCACAAATAACTATTGGATAAGAGAAACCTTCACTACAATGCCACATCCTTTTCGTCTCCCTCCAACCTTCTCGTTGTTGTTTTGTTGTTGTTGTTCTTTGTCGTGTTAGTGTTGTGATGTTTGACTATATTCACTGTCCATTGTTTTGATTGTTAATTCTTTTGCCAACGGAAAAGTTGTGAGCCTTGTGGCAGCATGTCTCCTAGAGTACAATGATGCAATCAGTCACATGTTATTCACTTGTGAATGCCAACTCGTTCAAAATATACGGGTCAACCAAACCTGCATGTTTTAGAGTGTTATATGAGTTAGGATGATGTGATACTAAATTGTTTTTTTTTTGGTAGAAAAGATTAACAGCATTTAAAATAAATGTATTACAATTATTCTAATCCTAAAGAAGGCAATCCCACAGATTGGGTGCTCAGACAACAAGAGAGACAGATAGAGAGAGAGAAGATAAAAGAGATGGTAGCGGTAGGGGAAGAAACAAAGAGAAGAAGAAAAAAAGGAAAACGAAAAACCTAAAGAAGAAAAAGTGGGCGGAGCCCTACATATCTATGAAAGATGCAATCTCGAAACGAGTAACAGAGTGCCAAAAGGTTAGAGGCGAGGGCCTCTAGTAGTGCTAGCAATCCATGATGAATATGAGACCTCTCCGGGCTAACTGTAGTGATGTTTGGACCTCGGCAGCCGACTAAAAGATCTGGTGAGAGCTTCGGCCCACTGCAAGATGGTATAAAAGCTGATGACTCTGTTTTGTGGTGATGATGTCTGATTTCTGGTGATGAAGAGATCACACAGCAGCATGGAGTGTAGCGCACCCAAGGAGGTTGTATAAGCAGGTGCCTTTGTAGATGATGATGTAATCCAACGGATACCCACTGACCAAAGCATAGTACTCCTCCCCATATTGACAATACCCATTTCTTCGAGTTGAGTGTAGATGGGTGGCGGATGCAAATAGGGAGGATGAGAAAGGGAGTGTATGACCATCCCTAGATTTCTATTTCCACTACTTAGAGTAGAGAGTGAATAGGTCAAGGATGAAAAGAGAAAGGATGAGACAAGGAGTATATGAAGTGCGGCTGTGGTGGGTTAAGTAAAGAGAGCGATTGTAACCAACTTGGAGAATGTAGGGAGGCTACAGTGAATATATTGGAAAGAAGATTGGAGATAGAGATAGAAAAAAACGTAGGAGAAGGAGATGGGTGTGTGGCAACACTACAACTGTGATAGAGTTTTGGTGGGACAAATAATGGGAGTTGAAATGGAGGAAGAGAGAGGGGTTGGGGGGTAGAGGTTACAGAGGTGTGTACCTTAGATTAGCCTCTGTTCGAAGTGAAGACTTTGGCCACCGGGGCAGTTGATGGAAATGTGATACTAAATTGTTGTGTGAAATGTCTCGGCATTAATGGTTCTAAGTAGGTCAAAGTAGGGCATAGCATTGATTGGGGTGCTGTCATGGGGATTGCACGAGAAGGGTTGGGGTTTTTTTGGAAATAAATGATTTGTGGACAAACTTTTGAATTTGGATTTCATTCATTTGAATACTGGAGGCAGATATGGGAGCTAATTTGCAGGAAAACATGAGGGTACATAAGGACAACATGGGGATATGGAATTGTAGGCTACATTTGTCCTTTGTGTCGTAGGAGCCCTCTGCAACTTTTGTTTCCCTTGAAGGATACATTGTTCGGTAAAAAAATTTATAATAAATTAATAATAAATTGCATTCGAAGTTTTGAATACTTGACTAAAAAAATTAAACCTTGAAAAAAGCATTAGCATGGATCAATTGGAAATGACTGAAGCTTTTGTATGTTTTGAGGGTCCTTGTATTTTAAGATTAATTCGAGGAACAACCAAATTTCTTCAATTGTTATTTTAAATAACAGAGCAACTCTATTGTAGGGCCAATATTTGTATCTCTATCCTAGTGCAAACAGTTATATCCATTTAGTTCTACAGTTACCATGAGATGGGGCCATTGTACAACTTCAATGCTCAATAATACAAATGAGTTGCTTATCAAAAAGAAAAAGGTAGATGAGTTTTTGTCAACCTTACTAAATAATGAGGTTCATTTGATGTTTCTTAACAAACAATAAAACCTTTTGATGTGAGGCATAGAAATAAAGGATGATTGCCGCAATTCTAGGCTGGGTTTTCCAGCAATCCCAGATTTGACTTCGTGAGTTCTCTCAACTTGATGAACATCATCTTACAAATTCCGTCAGAAGATGAAGATCGCCTGTGAATTGCTCACCAGACTCATTGTATTTTCTCAGCTTTGCCATGTCCAGCTGCTTTAATGTCATTTGCTAGAGGAAAATCTCAGGGCCTGTAGTACTTCTGGATCTTATGGATATGATGTTAGACATCCTTCATAGCCAGAGGAATTACATTCCCTTATTCCCTTTGTGTGGTCAACTTGGAGCAAGAATTTTTGAGGGCATGGGGAGGACTTCCTAGCTAGTTGCTTGGACTGCTTGATGGCATCTCTAGGATCTGGATTCCATTTTCCCATAATGCATCCCCTCCCTGTCTCTTGTACCTTGCAGATCTCCCTTCTAGTAATACCCTTCTCTCTCTAACCCAATCCAAGCTAAAACACCCCCCCCCCTCCCCCGCCCCCCCAAAAAAAAAAAAGATGGAAAAGGAAAACACGCACATCCTTTACTGCTCTTTTGTATCCTTTCCATAAATCTTCATTTGTCTGTACTTATTGCAACTAGGTGTTTACTCTCTACTATTGTTGTTATTGATAAAAAAGAACGTATAGACAAAAAGAGCATTTAGTTTACCGACCCAACAGCTGATCACACATACGCAGGCATGGTATCCAAAGTATTTGCAAAGGGGAGGGTGGCATCAATGGTTCCTAAAAAATCCTTGCGATTTTGTATGCACAATCCTGAAATGTGCTAAAAATTCCTTCTTAAAATGATGGATTAAGCTGTGGCTGCTACTTGCAAATTGCGCAACTCTCTATGAAGCCAACTCGTGGTATTATGAGGTGCATTGACAAAAAAAAAGAAAAATTTACAAAGGCTATACTGCACTTGCAAGTTGGATCTGATTTGGGACTTTAATTTGTACATCCAGGAAAGCAAAAGTTGAATCTTTATCCTGTACATATAGGAAAGCAAAAGTTGAATCTTTATCCTCTGCCTATGATGCCTTGTGATGTTGCACAAGTGGAATCGCAGAGAGAAATGTAGTCATAACTCCGAGAATGATTGGATCTTTTAGGATTGCCCTGTGTATATAATCACAATTATAAAGCTAATGAAATAGCTAAAATACGTATGTGCTGATTTTGATCTAACACAAGGTAAAAAATGATAAATCTAATCTAATTAAAAAAGGAAAACATAATAAACATGGGAGTAGCAAGAAATATTGCAGGGTTTTGGAATTTCATGTGACAGTAAACCTCTATAAAAAATTGTAATCCTTTTATTATTTTTATTACTTATAAAGGAAAAGCAATGTCAGAAGTTCTCTTGTATTTTGAGTTTTTCTTTTGTTTCCTAAGCATCTCGTCTGTGTAAGAGTTTTATTACTTTTCCATGTGACAAGTTGAACTAACTTCTCACAGTGATCATACTGATATCAGATGTACTAAGAAATTAGCAGCTGTAGAAATATCATTTATATGGGAGTGGGAAAGTTTTATATGTTGTGCATGTTATGGAACTCTAAAACGCTTTGTATGATCTCATAATGTAGGGAATGGCTTTGTGCTGCTAGGTGAAGTATTTTTTTATTGTACAGTAAAAAATGCCCTGCCTATCTGTGTAATTTACATTTCACAATGTATGCAAAGGTAATTCGTTGTCTTTTCACTAATTACAGTCCACTATTGCGGAGTTCGCATCTATATCAGATAAGATGGTGGTTCGCCAATTCTTCACAATGACGATGCAGCGGCTACTAAAATTGACACAAGAGGCTGTTCAATTAGAGCAGCCAAGTGAATCCAATTCCATGCAAATCGATGGCTCCAGGAATGGGGATGCATTAGCATCTGAAAGGCAAGTTTTTTGACCTTCCATATGATTGATGCATCTGAAAGGCAAGTTGTTTGAGCTTTCATATGATTTTTGCCTCCAACTTAATTTTTAACTATGAAGAATATAAATCATTCAACATACTCTTAATATCTTGACTTGTATATCAGGAAGCAAATTTCTAGGGTATCTTGCCTGAAAAATACTTTGGATTAGTTGTACAAAAGTGATTTTATTGCATTATGCATGCAATGATTGGTCAGTTTAATCTTATCATGTTAATGTTAACAATATAGTCTTTATGGTTGCAGGGGCCATTTGTTGGACTTAGCTATATCACTTCTGCCGGGTTTAGATGCAGAAGGCATCAATCTATTATTTATTTCGATAAAGCCTGCCATGGAGGTTTGTTGGTTTGAAATGAAATTTGCTGGTGTTTTGTTTAGGATTTTTTTTCATGTGCTTTGTATGGATTATGTTGTTGTATAATGGACTGTTGATGGCTAAGGTGTTGTCTGGTTGCAGAAGGAAGAGGGTTTGGTTCAGAAGAAGGCATATAAGGTTCTCTCTATCATCTTAAAGGTATTCACTCTTTTGCTTTTTATTTTTATTATATGTATTTGTGTGCTACTTATGTCAAACACATGCAATGTTCTGAAGCTTTTGTTGGTTGCCTGGCTTGTACTTTGGTGTTTTGTGATGTGGACATTTGTTGTTAACTATAGTAGTGCTGAAAATTTTCTTGAGCAGGAACATGGAGAGTTTCTTCAAACCAAGCTGGACGATATATGTAAATTGTTGGTAGAAGTGATGCCTATGTGCCATTTTTCAGCTAAACGACACCGTCTTGACTGCTTGTATTATTTCATCCTTAATGTCTCAAAGGTTTGTGATTATGGCAAATTGTCAAATTATCCCACCTATTGTTCTGGTTCTTAGTTGGCATAGTTGACTAATCGACTTATTCAGTTTTCTTTGTCGTGTGAGAATGTCAGCTATTGGTTTGTGATCGTTGACACTGTTTTCACAGGATACTCCAGAGCAAAGGAGAGATATCAATAGTGCATTCCTTACAGAAATAATACTTGCTTTGAAAGAGGTACTTCAATTAGCTCTGTTCCTGATGCTTTAAACAGGTAGATAGGAGACAATATAAATCTCATCTTTCAGGATGATTACTTCAGTACATTATCTGCTTCGTAGAATGGGTTTGTTTTTAAAAGATTATGAAATCACGTCTTTTTCTTAAAAAAGCACTTGTAACGAGTTCTGTATTTGAATGCTTCTCCAACTTAGATTACTTGGGGCAATCTTGACTAGGGTTGAACTTTGGAGAGAAAGTGTGCGCAACTGCTATAAAAGTTTTTCTGTTGGAAATTGAAGTCGTTTATCTTGAAGATGGTTGGAAAACCCTCTAATTGATCATCTCGACATCGAGATGTATGAATATGAAAAGAACAAAAGATTTCAAGTCCGTGAAATAGTGTATCTTGCAATATACATTATTTGGACCGTCCAGTTTTAAGATTTTCACGTGTTTATAGATCTACTTGATTTGAACCATTTTTAGAGTTTAAAATTTTATGATTAGAGATGAAAATAGATTATCAAGCCATCCTAAGAAATTTTGATATCAAAATTGCATTTATGGTAAAATTTAGAAGTGCGCCTTGATTGGATTGTTTAAGGTTGCACCTTATGCAAACCACACCCACATATATGTGACCACACCCCATATATGTGCATGCGTGCGTGCGCACACACGTGCGTGTGCATGTGTGCGTGTGCATGCGTGCGTGTGTGTGTGCGCGTGTGTATTTGCGAATTAACTATTTGTAAATTCCCTTTGCAGGCCAACAAGAAAACAAGAAACAGGGCTTATGATTTACTCGTCAAAATTGGGCATACATATGGTGATGTAGATCAAGGAGGCTCTGATGAAAATCTACATCAGTTATTTAATACGGTAAGAATATGGTTAATTTTGCATAATCACGTTATCATGTAGCTAATTATTTATTCCATTTCCGTTGTAGCTACTTTATTCTGATTGATATTTTGCAACTATTTCAGTGTATAATTTTTACATGGGAGAGACGTTTACACATGCAATGCAACCCCCAACAACTAGAAAAGTTTTAATCGAAAGTCTGGGACATTCATATCCGACGTCAAAATCCCTAGGGGGCTATCATACTTGCTACTCTATCAGCTTAAATGAAATCTAGTGTTTTCAAATTATCCACAAAATCTCTGCATTACCACACCTGCCATCTTGTTGTTTGCGTCGTGCTTGTATGAAAAAATATGACTCCTAGGATAAAGGACGAAAACAAACACAAACAGGGAACAAGTTCACCCAAGATTACATATAACCAAGGACTTCTTCATTAATATGAACTCTAGGTACTAGGTAATTCCAAGACCCTTAGGTATCCTGTTTCATTTACATATTACTTGTTTATACAAGGAAGAACAGATCTGGGTTTCAGAACTATTATAGACCACAAAGAAACAAAGTGCTAGCATGGACATCATGATACTTATGACTATGGATGTGGGAAGTGTAGCTGCACTTGTTCATCAATTTCCTGCTCTAAATTAAGCCTCGATCTTGAGTATATATCTCTGAAATGAAGTCCCTGAGTTCTCTGTAGTTACAACGTATGCTTGTGCGATACTTTGCTCCAATGGGCTTGTATATCATAGAAAATATCTCTCCCTTATAAAATGTCTCTCCTCCCCTACTGGCAGTCAAATCCACATTTATAGGGCTTTTGGAGAGAGAATCACTATTGAAGACCTTGTAATTAACCAAAGCCACAATTCAATTGAGTCTAAGGGTGCAATGGGCCAGTCCGACCCGGCCCTAAAAACTTTGGGCCTGGGCCACAAAATGTGTCTGGGGCGGGCCACTAGGGCTAAGGCCGGCCCAGTTCGGCCTGGCCCAACCCTCATTTTTCTTTAGTTTTCCTTCTATTTTACTTTTTAAAACTTTGTTCTAGATCGGCCTGACTTGGCAAGGGCTAGGGCCGGCCCTACAGGGATTAGGGCTAGGGCCATCGGGCCTGTTGCCAGCCCTAGTTGATCCTCTCTCACATAACAATGTGAAGGATGGGTATCAAATGAGTTTTGTGCGTATCCAAACTTCAAACATGTGGAACGTCCCATCATGACCAAAATTCAAGAACATACCAAACGAGCAATGTCTGGACCCAACAAGTTGGGGTCTGGGTCTAGGTCTAAGCCTGCGTAAACCCTTCCATGTGACCCAAACCTGTCCCGACCTAGTATGTATAAATATATCTTATATAAATATATGTCAAAAGTGCATATAATTATTATTATATTAATTATGGAAAAGTCTTCCCAACGCCTATAGCCGACAATGAACAGTGATTTCGCCTACCCTCATCACCGTCCAAAGTTCATCGCATGGTCACGATTGTCCGGTAGTGTTTCATTTTTCATTTTTTTTTTCTACAAATAGGAATGATCTGAAAGTTGGAGCATGTGTACATCTTGGTGAGACGCACCTAATAAAAATATATATAAAAAAAATTCGCGAAAACAAAATTGACCAAAATACCCCTGAAACTTTTTGGGGGTATTTTGGTCAATTTATTTCATGTAAAATATTGTTTTGATATTTTTCGTAGATTCATCTATATTTGATGAACACATGCTCCAAATTTCAGGTCATTCTGATGTGTAGAAAAAAAATGAAAAATGAAATACTACCGAACAATCGTGACCGTGCGATGAACTTTGGATGGTGATGAGGGTAGGCAAAATGACTGTTCATTTTTGCCTATAGGCATTTTGTAGTATCTTCCATTAATTATATATATATTTTCTATATTTTAAACATGACTAACGCGACGAGTCGTGTTCAGGTACAATTGACTTAGACCCAACCAGGTCTTGGTCTCACCCCGGCTCTATTGGGTTGGGCTGCTTGGAAAGGTGAACAAGATGACAAATCTTGGATCAAAAGCATTAGAGATGAATAAGATATGATCAATCGAAAACACTTCATTGCAGTTTTTTCAATTTGTTGCAACCTAATGTATTGTGTAGATCGCTTTCAAATCAAGAACCTTATGGTCCCCATGTCTTATTATAATATTGGGGCATTCAATGAAGAACAATTCCTAAATATTTCATGAGTAAACTCCTAAAGAATTGAGAGAAATCCTAGTTTGAAGTTTGTATAGATTGTCAAACGACACTCTGATGATATCATGCCTTTTGCGGCTCAAATCATTTTCAAAATTGGAATCTGTCACACCCAACTCCTTATTAGGATTCTAGGGCATAAGGCATGAGGAACTTTCCCTTCAGATTTATTAAGAAAACTCCCAAGGAATTGAGAGAAATCTCGATTTGAAGATGAAGGTCAATCTGTCAGATGAACAGAGCTTGGCCCTTGGTGGTTATGGGCCCCTTGGTGGTTATGGGCCTTGACCTCCACTGAGTATGGAAAGTGGGTCAAATCGAGTCCAAATGACTTGAAACTTTTGAAATAGTCTTATATTGCCTTAAATTATCATTCCACCAAGTTTCATGTGGATCCAACATGGTTCTATTTCCGATTGACGATGAAGCCATAGACGCATGCTCTGACCGATACTGGCTTCAAAACTATGTCGAATATAATCCTAACGTCATGAAATTTGGATGAGAGGCTCATAATGTCTCAAAATGAAGATTCACAAAGTTTCACCATACGTCAAGATCATTTCATAGGGTTTTCAACTGACCAAGGGTCAAGGCCTTCAGGTTATGCTTGACCAACGGTGATTTCAAAGGGGTATCAAATGAGATCAAATCCTTATGAAATTTGAATTACATGCTCTCATAATGTTTTCAATCAAAGGCCCAAAATTTTGTCTCATACTGATATAATTTGATTACGTTTCCAAATTCCAAATGACTAGGATCAAGCTTCTAGGGTGCACTTGACCCGTGGTGCTTTCAGAAAAGGCGGGGTTAGGCCTCATCCTTTCTTGACCATTGGTACAGTCGCCTCACCTTTGCAAATTATTTGAACCATAGTTATCGGGATGTTCTAAGGTATCTCGTTCTGGAGCTCTAAAGCACAGGATCTCAATTTCCAGCGATTCTTTGATACTAAGGATCTCGAATTGGGAAATAAGATATCTTGATCGTATGTTAACAAGACCCATATCCCTATACAAAATATGATCGTTTCATGAATAAGCCACCAACATGGAATCCAATATCTTATACTTTGGTGGCAAGTTTCAACGATACATTTTTTTCTTTATGATCTACCGACTTTCTAAAATCCGTGATTTCCACTATATTTTACAGTTTACGATTTTACATACCCTGTGAATTGTGATTTGTGTCTAGTTTCCACATAAAGGTGACCGGAGAGGGCAAGGGGAGAGAAGGAAGAAATTTGGACGAGATACAAATGATAGTCGCATTGCTGTTCTATTGAGGAATGAGATCACAAAAAATATGCGAAACATCCTTGGGTCTAGTTCATTGGTCTTGTCTGCTTCTTGAAGAGCATCTATCGCTTGATTGGTGGTTAGCTAAATCACGTCACACACAGTGTTGCCTTGTGGTTGGAGTAACATGTATGCTTGGAAATGTGAGGTCTCTTTTGTGTATAGGTCATTGAGCCCCCCTAGCAATCTTTGATGGAGGAGAGCTGTTGGGGTTTTATTTGGCAGCCTTACCTTTTTTATTGTTTTGCAAAGGAGAACTTAGCTATTGAGAGGGAGATAGCCTTACCGTTTTTATTGTTTTGCATAAGAGAACTTAGCTATGAGCGGGAGATAGACCACAATGTTCCCCAAGGAATTGAAAAGGAATAAGTGTCCATAAAAGTCCCCAATGAATGTATCTCTTCACCAGTTGACTAGAGAGCTAGAGGGGGGGAAGGGGGGGGGGGGGTAGAGAGATAGGGAGAGATCGCTGAGAACACAAAGCTCCATTCTTGCCCAAGGATTGATTAGGTATTACATCACTCTATTGGTTGTTTAGTATCGCTATCATTTGTGTCCCATTGATAACAAAAATCCAAGAGATTGATACTTGGGTTTTGAATTTCGAAAAAGTAAAAATATTGTTAAATGGAACTCGATCCCTAAAAGTCAGGGATCTCAATCGCTACATTTTCCAATGGACAGAACTCGTTCCCTCAACAATGGAACTTCGCAGCTTCTTCACTCCGTGCTTCCGCTCCCAATCCCAGAGCTTTTTTTTTCTCCTGCCCCAGGTAACTATGATTTGAAGTGTGCTTGGATTGTTTTTTTTTTTTTTAATCACTAACAAAACCTTATTGATTATAAAAACAAATATGCATTTATGGGTTTGTACGCTTTTTAGGATTTACATATCTAAATTTATTATGTTTCCTTTTCCAAAATTGGATTCTTAAATGAAAAATTGATTCACAACGGAGTTATCAAATGCTCTTTATCAGCTTCTTCTCTAGCAAGAACATTTGCCATTTCATTTGCTTCTCTCTACATATGTTTAAGAAAATACTATTCTTGCAGAGCATATCTCAAATAGTTCATAAAAAATCTGGGCCAATGTCCATGGGCATTTTGCCAACTTTCCTGCCAATGCTCTTGCATTTGCGGTGTCTCCTTCTACCACACTAGAGTTCTGATCTGTTTTCAAGTTACCTGATCCAGTCAACAGAGCCTTAGGCTTCACCGGTCTATAGAATAACATGTACCTCTTTCCCTTAAAATTTCCATCTAAATTTAGTTTTATCTTTTTGGAGGTGGTTGTGGTGCTCGAACAGCGGATCTCTCTGGTTCTTTGGTAGCAATCTTGGCAGTGTGTCTCTAGTCTTGAAATCGTTTAGTTGGTAGCCCCATAACTCCTTTTGATTCAATACCTTAAGGATGACCTGTTCTTTGACACTTTCAGTTAATCTTGGAATAGTTTGGTAGTGACATTTAATGTTCCTCTATT